GCCGGAGAGAAACATTGCTGAAATTTCCACGTGATTTTGTTTACTTATAAATTAAGGCCAGTAAACAAAATTTCTAAGTTAACAAAAAAGAGGGCCTACACGCTAGCAGCAGAGAGGACGCAGTGTTGAGCCCCTTGTGTATAGTGGCATCGGTGATCGCCAAACATGTCGCAGTCAGGAAGGGCAGTGAATCGGCCGACGTCCAGAAGCGCCTGATCCAACGTGCATGGACACGGAACTGAAAGAAATGAAATATAAGTTCAAGATAACGGGCAGGACAGCCAAAATAAGCAGGCGAGTACGCACAGTACCCCCTTTTAGGAACATAACATAAAAAATGGAGGATTTTTTGGCGGATGAGCAAGGGGAGAAGGGAGTCACAATGATAATTTCCCTCACTGAGTCGATGTGCCCTTTTTCAGAATTCTCCCGAAGAGATTGGTACTTCTGAACATAGCCAGAAACTGACTATTCCCGATAATTCCGGTGATCCACGTTTGAAGGCAGTTGGCACGATAATTTGGTACTCGGCCTAAAATGCTAGCAGGCGCTATATAGTGGGAAAATGGCGAAAAAACGAAGTGAAACGGTCAAAAACCTGCGAAGAAGCGGAAGCAATCTTGGACGAGTTTCCCGTTGGATCTTGCCAATAACCGCTACGGTAGATACGACTGCACGTATGTACTCATATATCCATGCAGCACCGCGGCCGCTTCATACAATCCCTTCGCTTCATAATTTGCTTAGCAAATGAATGAATACGAGCGTCAGGAACGGTCGTCCATTTGTGGGCGGGCGGGCGTGGTGGGCGTTCGGGTCGGTATGTTGTAGCTTGATAGGCCCTTATAAGGGTACTTTTCTCAGAATCGGGCTACGCAGCTCTGCTCAAGGTTACGGAATTCCTCTTGCCAGGCATATTAATCCTACTCGTCTTAGGGAATTATCATGCCATCTGCCTTTAATATCGTCGCAATCAGTCGGAGCGGTGTCAAGAGGCATTGAACACTCGCCCGCTGCGTTTTCGACGCTGGTTGTTTTCTTCCTAAATCGATCACTTACCGACTGCCACTGGTAGACCAACTGTAGCAAAAGGCAGCGCGGAGGCGTGCTCATTCCGCTCACGAGCTGACTGGCAACGATATGCAGCTATATTATTTCTGGCTGTTTGCCCTCTCCCTGAGCAGCTGTTGTTGGGCTGCCGCAGTCATTCGCTGGCGCATGCCAATTTCAACATTCAGCTATGATGGGTAGGTTCTTGACAAACGACTCTTTTATAAAACAATTAAGCTTTTTGTTCGAGCTCCATTACGAAATTCTCTCGTCTGCCATCGTAATCGAACCAGTGCTGACACATCTGCAAGAAAACTTCATTTCATTCTGAGAATAAGTGTAGGCTGTAATACTAGGAGGCACTGGTAAGCACTGAAGGGGACATTCAAAGGATTATGCCTGGCAAAAGATAGGAACATATATTCACTGAAAAAGTATCATCTTTTGAATTCCACGCTCCGCCAAATAATTTAGCTCCTTCCCTTTACAGGTAACCATGAAATACCCACTAAAGAGGCTTTCATAATATAGAATTACTACCCGAATCTGTAGAGGATTATAAATAAAGACTAGGTGTGCATTACCTGCAACGCCCAGTCTCGACCATATTCGTATTCCCATTTCCGGTAGAAAAACCATCCAAAAGCAACAGGCATCGACCAGTGCATTCTAGAAAAATGGGGGAAAAAGGGGGGGGGGGGGGGGGGGGGGGGGTGAAGGGCGGTTCAACCGTTCCAGGAAAAACTAGCGCTTAGCTTTGGGTTAAAAATGAAAATAAAACAGTTATGTTGGCTCTTTTATTAGCAAACCTCACCTCTAACCGAGGTATTTAAAGGGATCTACAATAAAGTTCGGTAAAACACGAGAAAAGATTGAAAGCCACAATATAACGGCTAAAAGCTAAAGTCCGTCGTCATCAGCTTGCCCTTCGATTTAAAGCAAAATCTTCAGTGCTAATATCGGAGCAGGGCACACAGCCGCTGTGTTGCAAAACCGACGTGGGTGGGGAGGCGGGAGGGTAAGGAAGTCTGGTAAGGGAAGAACGCCAATCGGCTTTGAGCAAAACATTTTTCGCTTGTTGATTCTCCCTCTCTCTTCTTTTTCCTCCTTTCCCCTTTAATTTGGGGCTCTGATAAATGTACGATTCCAGACAGGAGTTGGAGAATCCCTGGTTCCTTACCTATCTCCTCCTGTCTTCCAACCACGTGTCCGCAGCTCGCACTTGAATAACACCTCCCTGGAAAAATCGCCATGCATCCAGATCGCCCTCCAGGTCAACCTGAAATCGCTATCAACATCCGAGTACAGTTTAAACAGGGAGCATTGCTATCGCTCACACTCCAAATTTCTGGGTGAAAACGAGAAGGTTCCGGTGTTTGGATGCCTCTTGGCTATGTAACCAATCTGGAATCATGCAATCGTACTGACTGTCTATAGACGCCGCATCCCGAATATAGAGAGGGCGTGGTTGCGTACTCCATTTGATGTGAGGGTGGCTGCATTTCTTATGGGATATTTTCTTGGGCCAGCTGGCCAATCAGCCTTGTTAACCGTACAGCTCGTGCATCCTTTGTAGCTTGCATAGCGGCGCGCTGTCGCGAGAAGGAGGGCGTGCACCACTGTTTGAAAGCCCTTCTCAGGCCTTTCGGTGAAGGCGTATGCCGAGCAAAAAGTGATAGAAAACGAGTAACACGAAGGATATAATACAGTAATGTCACTCTCTGGTTCAACGATTGGTGCAGTACGGGTGCTGACGACCGCGCCGCACGCAGCCGCACTGACATTGACTATCAAGTGCAAGGATGACGACTGTATGTGACAGAAACCAGGCTGTTTCAATGTGTGAAATACGACTTGAAAACGCATTCCTTCAATGTTCAATGAAGGCACGCAGCCAGCGCCTGCCCCATTTCCGAGGTATTGAAGTGCTAACTCTAAAATGACCATAGAAACTCACCTGCTTGAACGAATGTCCTTCCGTGTCCTCCCAGTAGCCCCAAAGTGCTATGTCAACAGCCGTATTAGTATTTGCCGTGATGTTCTCCCATTCCCAGGAGAGCGTTAAAATTCTGAATAGGGTCAAATTACTCACTGACCGATTGATTCGACGAATTCACGAATACCGGAAAGGCGAACACTCATACTTTTGCGGCTTTCCTCATTGGTGCACTATCTCGAACCACCACTGGAAAGATAGTTGGTGCACCAATGACGAATGGCGCAAATTATCGTAAATCTTTCGACCAATTTCTTCTGGTTCCCCAAATTTTTTCTATGAAAAAGGTCCAGATCGCCTGGTGGGGCGTGACAACTGGTGGGCTTCAGGAGGCTTGTACCTAAGGCTTGGCGTAATCGCTACAGGTGTAGGATTTACACAACTGGCTTAACGGAATTCCGTGACCTCGGACAGGCACTGCGTGAAGCCTTTTCCAAGGAGGGTACCTCTATAACGCCCTATTGAGCAACAACTTTATATAGTCCCAAAACGCCTTCTTTGGCCCGCGACCCGCCTACTTTTGGACGTATAGGATCCCTCCACGAGGACGTGCCGCTTTGGACCGTTTTCGTGGTGGGATCCTACGTGTAATGTGGCGTGACGTAGGAAAAAATTCCTTCTTCCAGTAGTGCGCATTTTGGTTTCTTATTTTTTTAGTACTATGTAGACATTTGAAGTTTATTTGATCTCTGATGTCTCTATGTCGATTAAGATTTTATTTCTTATTTTCAAAAGCAGAAGAAATGCGGTAAGAAGAATTCAGGGGCATTTTGTTTTGTGTCAACTAGTGCGATCGATCGTACTGCTGTTTATTTATTACTTTTCATCGATTTTTTTAATCCATCGTTGATTTGACCAGAATTTACTGTACTAGGTGGGTGATTCTGCAGTTGTAAAGATTTCTCATGCGTTAATGCCTTTAAACATATCTGATCTTCTTTGAAACGCAATGTGATCATGATATTGCATTTACAATGATGATACACACTGCTATTCTTTATTTTAAGAACTCTCGAATCAACTCGTACTTAATATTAAGACTGTATTTTCTGCAATCTTGCCCTAAACTGTAGTGATAAAGCAATAAAATAGGGTTCATCGATCGAACCGCTCAGCTGGCGTCGGCTGGCAAAAAGCCAGCAGTGAGCGGTTTCAGCGGACACCTCGTCGCACAAGCCCCGCCCCCACCGTTCACCAGGAAGAGATTCGTCCATTTCCCCAAAGCAAGTAGAGGCGTGGAAATAGAGCCCCCGTTTCCCTGTTTCCCCACCGTTTCGCCTCATTTCTTCACCGTCTTTGAACTACTAGTCACCATGGCTGCTTTTCAAGCTCTACTCAAAATTATCGTGCCAACTGCCTTTAACTATGCAGACACTCCGTAACCAAAAGATAGTCTGCACTTCTCAGGCGACCTCATCTCCCAAGAATTGCAAGTCCCATCAAAATGAAATTTTTTTAAGATAATTCGAATTAGCAAAAGAAACTAGCGAAAGTGCAAAATGCCCCTCCCAAGCCGAACAGCGCCTAGAAAAACATGACAATCTACTTTTGAAAATCAATATCGACCTCAAGCGGCCGTAATACCTGAGGGTCGTAGAAGTTCCAGTTATTCATTGGCTCTCTGGGATCATTTATCAGGTTCACTCGACGTCGCGCCAGACCAGGTTGTACTAAAAAAAAAAGTTACGTTGTAGATAATGTTTTACAAAGTGGAAAGTTTGTTAATATTTGGGTTCGACTTGTAAAGGACCAACATACCGCCGTATCGTAGGCAAGGAGGACGCGCGAGTTGCGGACTTAGCTAGCTCTTGCCGGGTTGCAACAGTCGGCCCTATGTTCACTGGCGGACGCTAGACGTTTCAAGGGTAGCTGGAATTTTTTGGCGCTGCGGCCATCTTTTTCTCCATCAGTTGTGTGAAGTGGACAAGCGACAACAATTGTGGAGCAAAGCATGCTGAAGCCGGGCTGAACGCCAGCCGCTCACCAAACGCACCCAGAGTCCGCGGGCGGAACAACAGTGTCGAAATGGGATCGGTCGCGTGATAAGCTGTTTGCCATTGGGTTACTGCAACTTTGACAGTATATCCCTTTATAACGGTTTTTTTTTGCCGCGAACAAGCGATTCCGCAAGAAGGGCCAAGGTAGAAAATTCGATTACAGTCCTCATCATTACGGACTGTCGGGGCGGCACAGCCGCGCTGCACTGTGACGCGACAGCGGCTGCGGCTCGGTGACGGTGAATCAGCTGATTTCGATGGAATTCGGCTGCAAATTCCCACTTTTTCAGCTCTTCAAGCTTCTAAAGTGGAAGGTGAGTTATTCTGAAGAACAATTTTGAATTGTACTGGCTCTGATTTCCTTTATTTTTATGTCGATTATTATGCTCTTTTCCTTGTATTTTGCCTTATTTCAGGCATTTATTCAAATGGCTTACATTCTTTCAGATTCATTCAGAGTCAGTACGAATTTAAAACTGTTCAAATAACTCACCTTCCACTTTCGAAGCTTGAAGAGTTTAAAAAGTGGGAATTTGCAGCCGAATTCCATGGAAATCAGCTGATTCGCCGTCACCGAGCCGCAGCCGCTGTTCGCGTCACATTGCAGCGCGGCTGTG